GGGTCCACCATTCTAACCAAGGCGGTAACGGACGCCGACTGGGCAGGGTGCCGAAGGACACGAAAGTCCCACACCAGCATCCAGCTTTATGTTGGTGGGAGTTTGCTGAGCTCTATGGTGAGGTCGCAAAGGAGCATTGCCCTCTCAAGTGGAGAAAGTGAGTACATAGCTTTGGTTGCAGGCGCGGCCGAGGGCATCTACACTCCCGGCACACCAGTTAGCATATGGACCCGGGGAAAATTAGACAATTAGACAAATGACCCGGGATCCCGGGTCACTTGTCTAATTTCATCCCGGGTCCAAAAACAACGCAGTTAGCATATACGTTTCCCGGGTCCCAACAACCGCAGTTAGCATCTCCCGCACCGCAGTTAGCATATGGTTCTTGCCAGGGATGTGGGCCTTTTTTTGGTGGTGGGAGGGCGCGAGTCGGAGGAAGTTCTGGTAATTCTGGAGGTTTTGCATGAGCGGGGGACAAATTCAGAAGAGTTGATGGAACTTGCGCCTCTGTTTGTGTTGTGCAACTGTACAGTAGTGTACAGTATGGGCATATCCGAACCGCAGTTAGCATATGGTTCTTGCCAGGAATGTGGGCTTTTTTTTGAGTAGGAGGGCGTGAGTCGGAGGAAGTTCTGGTAATTCCGGAGGTTTTGCATGAGCGGGGGGCAAATTCAGACGAGTTGATGGAACTTGCGCCTGTGTTTGTGTTGGAGATGAGGGGGGCAGAAGAGGAGAGTGAGACAGCAGAGGGTAAAGGGCTACTGCACTGTACTGTAGCGTACTGTACACTAGTACAGTACTGTACTGTACTACAACCTTTAACATTGTGTATCGGATGCCCCGAAACCGCTTTACAGTACATAGGCCGGTGTATCGTCCTACCATCTTTGTGCAGGCGACGAAATGAAGGTGTATTGGATGCCCCCAGGACCCCTGTACAGTAGAGGCAGCAGAAAAACCTCAACGCTTCTTGTATAATTTCTGTTGTCCAAACCTGCAAAGAACTGCAGATAGCATATATATTCCAGGCCAACCCCAACCGCCTACCCCTTTAGACAGGTGTAGCTGAGCCCCCCCCCAGAACCGTTTAACAAGGTGTATTGGATGCCCTGTGCAGTACAGTAGAGGCAGCAGAAAAGCTTTCAACGTTTCTTGTATAATTTCTGTTGTCCAAACCTGCAAAGAACTGCAGATAGCATATATTCCAGGCCAACCACCAACTGCCTTCGAACCTACGGTGCTGTACAGTAAGCCCTACAGTACAGTGAACCCTAAACGAAGTAAAGTAGGTGTTTAAAGCAGTGTGATTCTTATCGATGTTACTGTACTGCACAGTAAAAAATGTGGAAGTTGCTTTTAAAATTGAATGTCCATAAACATCAAACACAAAATGGATTACAGTAATAATTTTGTTTGCAGTACTGCACTGTCTTTGTATGTCATATCATGTCATACAGTATATGTGTCATATCATGTAATTTCGTCGGTTTGTGGAGGCATGAATATGCTAACTGCACTTGTTTTATTGATATTCACTGCAGTTATGCGACAGGGAACTACCGAAGTCGTAACGCATGTCAGCAGATCAGGGCAGACCTTCGCGGAAGCGAAAACGCTGGGTCGTAACATTCCGCGGTGTAGTTGGTGATACGGGTTGCTTGCAAAAGTCCTTTAGTGCGAAAATTTGGTACTGGAAATACGTCGTTTGGCGTCCTGGCTGGATTGTGCTTGGTTGTAGTACAACTTTAGCAGTGGAAATGCCTCGTTTGGCGTCCTGGCTGGATTGCGCTTGGTTGTAGTACAACTTTAGTGCTGGAAGTGCCTCGTTTGGCGTCTTGGCTGGATTGTGCTTGGATACAACTTTAGTACTGGAAGTGCCTCGTGCGGCGTCCTGGCTGGATTGTGCTTGGTTGTAGTACAGCTTTTGTACTGGAAATGCCTCGTTTGGCGTCCTGGCTGGATTGCTTGGTTGTATGTAGTGCAGCTTTGGTACTGGAAATGCCTGCTGGATTGTGCTTGGTTGTAGTACAACTTTGGTAGTGGAAATGCCTCGTAATTGGCGTCTTGGCTGGATTACGCTTGGTTGTAGTACAACTTTAGTACTGGAATTGCCTCGTTAGGCGTCCTGGCTGGATTGTGCATGGTTGTAGTACAGCTTTGGTACTGGAAATGCCTCGTGTGGCGTCCTGGCTGGATTGTGCATGGTTGTAGTGCAACTTTAGTACTGGAAATGCCTCGTTTGGCGCCTGGCTGGATTGTGCTTGGTTGTAGCACAACTTTGGTACTGGAAATGCCTCGTTTGGCGTCCTGGCTGGATTGTGCTTGGCTGTAGTACAACTTTAGTACTGGAATTGCCTCGTTTGGCGTCCTGGCTGGATTGCGCTTGGTTGTAGCACAACTTTGGTGCTGGAAATGCCTCGCTGGGCGCCCTGGCTGGATTGTGATTGGTTGTAGTACAACTTTAGTACTGGAAATGCCTCGTTTGGCGTCCTGGCTGGATTGTGCGTGGTTGTATTAATTGTAATACAACTTTAGTACTGGAAATGCCTCGTGTGGCGTCCTGGCTGGATTGCGCTTGGTTGTAGTACAACTTGAGTACTGGAATTGCCTCGTTAGGCGTCCTGGCTGGATTGTGCATGGTTGTAGTACAGCTTTGGTACTGGAAATGCCTCGTGTGGCGTCCTGGCTGGATTGTGCTTGGTTGTAGTACAACTTTAGTGCTGGAAATGCCTCGTTTGGGTACAACGTTGGTACTGGAAATGCCTCGTTTGGCGCCTGGCTGGATTGTGCTTGGTTGTAGCACAACTTTGGTACTGGAAATGCCTCGTTTGGCGTCCTGGCTGGATTGTGCTTGGCTGTAGTAAAACTTTAGTACTGGAATTGCCTCGTTTGGCGTCCTGGCTGGATTGTGCATGGTTGTAGCACAACTTTGGTGCTGGAAATGCCTCGCTGGGCGCCCTGGCTGGATTGTGATTGGTTGTAGTACAACTTCAGTACTGGAAATGCCTCGTTTGGCGTCCTGGCTGGATTGTGCTTGGCTGTAGCACATTTTTGGTACTGAAAATGCCTCGTCTGCCGTCTTGGCTGGATTGTGCTTGGTTGTAGTACAACTTTAGTACTGGAAATGCCTCGTTTGGCGTCCTGGCTGGATTGTGCTTGACCTTTAGTACTGGAAATGCCTGGTTTGGCGTCCTGGCTGGATTGTGCGTGGTTGTAGTACAACTTTAGTACTGGAAATGCCTCGTGTGGCGTCCTGGCTGGATTGTGCTTGGTTGTAGTGCAACTTTAGTGCTGGAATTGCCTCGTTTGGCGTCCTGGCTGGATTGTGCATGGTTGTAGTACAGTTTTGGTACTCGAAATGGCTCGTTTGGCGTCCTGGCTGGATTGTGCTTGGTTGTAGTACAACTTTGGTACTGGAATTGCCTCGTTTGGCGTCCTGGCTGGATTGTGCGTGGTTGTAGTACAACTTTAGTGCTGGAAATGCCTCGTTTGGCGTCCTGGCTGGATTGTGCTTGGTTGTAGCACAACTTTGATACTGGAAGTGCCTTGTTTGGCGTCCTGGCTGGATTGTGCTTGGTTGTATGTACTGCAGTTTTTGTACTGGAAATGCCTCGTTTGGCGTCCTGCTGGATTGCGCTTGGTTGTAGTACAACTTTGGTACTGGAATTGCCTCGTTTGGCGTCCTGGCTGGATTGTGCGTGGTTGTAGTACAACTTTAGTGCTGGAAATGACTCGTTTGGCGTCCTGGCTGGATTGTGCTTGGTTGTAGTATAACTTTAGTACTGGAAATGCCTCGTTTGGCGTCCTGGCTGGATTGTGCTTGGTTGTAGTACAACTTTAGTACTGGAAATGCCTCGTTTGGCGTCCTGGCTAGATTGTGCTTGGTTGCAGTACAACTTTAGTACTGGAAGTGCCTCTTGTCGCTTGCAAGCCCACGGTTCGGTAGAAAGTTTCAGAGGCGGTGTGTGGAAACCATGTTTTGTGTCAGGCGCGGTTACTTGGGGGAAAGAAACAGCAAAAGTTACGACTTCTCTTACTGTACATGAAGCCCAACGGGCAAAGTGGATGGCAACCCTTCTTGTATAATTTCTCTTGTCCAAACCCTGCAGAGAACCGCAGATAGCATATATTCCGGGCCAGCCGCCTTCGAATGGTTCCTTCCGTGTTTCCATGCCTCGTAATTGCCTGTCACATTCATTGCTGTGCCACTGGGTGGGATGGGTTCCTGCTGCAGGCTGCCATGAACACGACTTTAGAGTGACAGGGGCGAGGGCAAATGGGGAGCGTGCTGTACAGTATTGTATTGTAGAGCACACTACAGTGCGGTACAGTACAGAACCGTGTTGTGCAGTACTGTACTGATCAAAGAAGAGAAGCCGGCATGTGCTTTCTCTGTTCACTGTTCGAAGAGGAGAAAGCTAGCAGAAACCCCAACAGTACTGTGCAGTAAGCCCTACAGTGAACCCTAAACCAAGTACAGTAAGTGTTTACTGCAGCTCGATTCTTATCATACAGTATATGTGTCATATCAGGTCATTTCGTCGGTTTTAGGAGGCACGAATATGCTAACTGCACTTCTTTTGTTGATATTCCCTGCAGTTTTTGCCCTTTCGGATGCCCATCTTTGCATCGAGGATGGCATATGCTAACTGCAGTTTTCTTGACATGCTAACTGCATTTCGCCTCGGTATGCTGGTGCTTTTCGTGTCCCCACACGAGAAGATAGCATATTTTGGACCCCCTCTATATGCTAACTGCGGTTCAAAATTTGTCTAATTTCATCCGGGATTCCAAACAGCATCACATGCTAACTGCACTCCCAAAAAAACGCATATGCTAACTGGTGTTCTTGAACAGTACCTAGCTGACTGCGTGCGCTTCTTTGTGAACGGTGCCTACGAAGTGGAGCTCAGGAGCAGGACTGACTCGTCAGCCTGCAAGGGCATCACGCAGCGCTTGGGCTGCGGGCGCATCAGGCACATTGCCTCATTGCCTGCAACATGTTGTGGGTCCAGCAGTGTGTGAAACAAGGCATCCTGAAGGTCGCGACGATCCCTGGGACTGCGAATCCCAGTGATCTGGGAACCAAGCCTCTGAATGGAAGCCGCATCCGCGAGCTTCTCTTCATGATGGGGGCTGTGCTTCTGGACGGGTCTCCTTACGGAGCTCAAGACAAAGAGCTTGCGGACCAGAAGAGGGAGATGGCGCGTGTGATGAAGGAGCTCAAGAGTGACGGCCACCGCGTGTCCCAGATCAAGGCGCTCATGCCGATCCTCCTCATCATGTCTCAGTTTCAACCGACGCGTACGGGTGGACTTGTCCACTGGTGTTTTGCAAATGGAAAAACGGTTTCCTTTCTTTTGGTAAAACTGGAAAGTTTTCCTTTATTCGCTTTTGCCAGTGCCTGCATCTTCTTGCCTCGGTACATGTCGTGAAGCTCTGTGCATCCGCACTCCGCTTTGGATCAAGTTGCAGCGAAGTCGCTTCGCAATTTTGATTTGGGCCTCTCTAGAGTCCTGTAGTGCTGTCTAGCAGGCTCCGGGGGCTAATTCCAAGGCTTCTAGCTCCTCGTGGCCTGGGTAGCGCGATCGCCCCCTACAAGGGGGGGTGCATGGCAGGCACCTCTTGCCTCTTGAGTGATCTGTCATTCTTGTATGGTGTCCCGTGCTGAGCTTGAAGAGTTCCGTCAGTACTTTGAGTGCTCGCTGCTCAGCTTGGTTCGTGGTGCCTCTGTGGAAGCCAAAAAGGACGTCGATAGTGCGAGATCTGACTTCATCGAAGCACTGCAATCTTTCAGGGACGACACCCTTGAAGCTTTGACTGCTCTGCACGAGCGTGCTGACCTTCTGCTTGAGAATCAATTTAGGCTGCAGAACCAGTTTGTGATTTTGCAACAGCGCCTTACTCGGCTTGAAGGTGAACCGGACTGCACTGACGGGCCGTGCTGCCCGGACGGGTCGAGCTTTCTGGATTCCTTGGATTAAGGAGCTTTGCTGGCGAGATGTCCTCCAGGCCCACTGACCCTGATGACAGGTCTCGCTTGGGCGGGCCACGTGGTGGCCCATATGCTGATCGTAGACTGCCTGGGGTTGGCTCTAGGCCTAGTCCCCCTCCCTCCTTCGGGTATCTTCGGTTTAGGTCCGCACCGCCCCTCCCCGAGTCGGGCATTCCCTGCCCACCTGTGAATCGGCACGTGCATTTGAGGCCCCCGGCACTGCCGGCCCGCGCAGCCCCTTTCACACCGCCGTTTCAAGCCTTGCCTGAGCTTCAGGCTGCACCTCCATTGCCCAATCCGCAAGGAATGGTGGTGTCGGTATCGAACTGGTCGAGGGATGCAGGCCATTCGTGCACACTCAGCGGCCTGCTCTCAGATTGCTGTGAACCTCATGCTGCAGCTTCTTGCCTTCTTGGGGTCTGAATCTAGCTTTTTCTCCGCCATCCAATCAGCAGTGCATTTCGATGCACACGTGCGCCGTGTACTTGCAGGTTTTGCCGCAACGACTGTCATCAGGTACATCACTACCTTTAACTCCTTTGCTAAAGCTTGTGAGGACTTGGATGTGTGTCTTCTTGAGATTACTGCAGTGCAAGCGGCCGACATCTTGGTCACTTTGCAGCTTCAAAGACAGGAGGATCCGACTGTCGGATCGTCGGCAATCACTTGCATCAAGGCCGTACGGTGGGTTTGCAAGAACACCCAGTGCATTGTGTTTGAGGTTTTCTATGGCGAGCTGATTTCATCCTTCTTGAAGACCAAATTGCCTAAGGACCGCAGGGAGAGCCTACCCCTGCCGCTGTATGCTCTTGTGCAGTGGGAACGGCGCATCCTTCAGCGCTCCACCCCAGTGCGGGACATAGTACTGCTCGGTGCTTTTTTGGTCACATGTTGGGCGAGTCTTCGCTTTGCTGACAGCCAGCGCATCGAATGGAGCTCATTTGCTTTCGACGTGGTTTCGCTTCGGGCCATTGCATACCAGACGAAAACTTCGCATCAGGGCCAACCCTTCGGCCTAATCACTCAAGGCTTCTTGCATCATGGCACACACTCCTGGGTGGCTAGGTGGCTCCGGGTTCTTGATTCCATCGCTTCGCAGGAGGTGCGCGACTTTGGGGTGGCTCCTAGCTTTCTGTTTCCGGCACTGGACGATGACGCCGAGTTGCTCCGGCCCCTGGAGCCGATGAGTTACCCTTCATGCTTGCGCTGGTTGCGCTATTACTTGCAGTTTCCTTGGATGGTGTCTCCACCCGAGGTGCCCGTATCTAACTATACGGTGCACTCCATGAAGTGTAGCCTCTTAAGTTATATGCTTGAGGTGCCGGACATCCGCGGCCCAGACAGGGACGCACAAGGACATCATAGGGGGAGTAGCAGGGAACCCTACAGCAGAGATGATGTGCTAGGGGCGCTCCGCGCTCAGACACAATTGAGGTCTGCTGTCTTGGCGGATTTTCGCCCAAGGACGCCATTGCACCGTGGAGCACAGCTGCCTATGGCACCGATCCCTTTTACTTTGGAAGCCTTCAGCAAAGAGATCGATCCTGCACCGTGGGGTTTCTTTTCCTTCGATGTTGGTGTCCCCGGGTCGCTCCCCTGGGTTCCCGGTCAATCTTCGGCATGTGCTGCGGAAACACCTGCTGCAGAGGCCAGCACCAAGGCTGCCGAGCCCTCCTTGCCCGACTCCGCATCGGAGGCTGGATCTGAGTCAAGTCTTGAGTCCGAGGCAGGGCCCGCGTCGCTCGGCCCCCCAGATGAGGTGCACATGGTCGCCGCAACAGGCGTTGTGCACGCCGCATGCCCGTCAGGTGAGAGGACACTTTGTGGCATCGGTATGTCGGGCCCACGTTGGCAGTCGGTCCACTCTCTTAGTTCCAAACATGTTCTCTGCAGGCGAAATGCCTGTGTCAATGCATTCGCTGCTCTGGAAGCTTAGTAAAAGTGCAGTTTGCTGCCTTTGTCTTGTATCGGTATGCGCTCGCATTCTGCTTGCACATGTTTTCTTCATGCATTCCATTTTCTTTGCATTGAGCCTGCCAGGACACGGGTCTGCCCTCGATCAGCCGCTTCAGGCCCGAACGGTAGTTTTTGCCGACCGCTGCTCTCGCACCATGGCAGATGAATTGTTCGATGCTAAATCCGCGGATGGATCATTCAATCTGGTGAATCCTTCACCGTGCCCGCTTAAAGCAGAGGGAGCCTCAAGCTTCAATCAGCTCCTTCAGGATCACGGCATCAGCCAGGAGCTCACGGATCGGCTGCTCGCCGACGGTTGGGATGCGAAATCTTTTCGCCATGTTGTCTGCCAGGAATCTGAGCTTGCGGGGGTCCTCCCTGAGATGTTCCCGGACACTGAAGTGTCCTTGATGCAGCGTGCCAAGCTGCGAGCCGTCTGGTCGTCGCTGCAGCGACGCGGTAGTAACGAGCCTGCTCCTGCAGAACCGCTGGGATCCCCGGCCAAGCAAGGCTCGGGATGGTCGGAAGCCTTCGCCCCCAAGCTTGATGCAACGCGGGTGGCCACGCTCAAAAAACGTTTCTTGGAAGCCTTCCCATCCGAAATCTTGACGGCTATGAATACCCCCTCGCTCCGCCTCTTGAGCACTGCTGTCGACGCCGAGGTTAAGAAGAACTGGTCTTGGATCCCGTGGAAGAGTCGCATGACACAACAGATGTATGAGGATTCCCTCATGCAGAAGCCCGCAAAAAGGGCCAGGATTGAGACCCTTCAGCTTTCGGACCTGTTGCTTGATGAACCGCCACAGATTGATATCAATGATTCCACCATGGGGATTTCAATGATCCGTAGGCTGTTGGAGGTGCATGACAATGCCCTCGCTCTTGCAGGCACCGCGCATCTTGCGCGCCTCAAAGCTTACACCTCTAAGTTCTTGAGCCTGGTTTCGCAAAAATTCCCGCCTGAAACAAACCTTCGGCCCCCCTCTGTGCTGGAAGCTCAGCAGGCGGACAAACACTTGTGGTCGTGCATCTTTCAGCTTGTGATCGAGAAAGAATGGCAGGTGAATGATGCGATCTACGAGTTCACGGAGATCCGCGGCGATATGTCGTCATGGCTGCAGCCCCGCGCCAAAGCTGCCTCTGCAGGCAATCGTAGGCCGTATACACCGGGCGGCCGTGACAACCGCCCGCCCACCCCACCGCCAGGTCGTGGCACTGGCAAGGGCAAGGGGAAAGCCAAGAGCCCCACCAAGCAAGGCACCCAGCCTAGGGGCGTTCCGTGGGTTCGCGAGTACAAGGAGGGCGGCCAGGTGAAAAAATTGTGCATTGGGTGGCAGATCGGGAAATGCCAGCGTGGCAACTCCTGCGAGTTCACGCACGGCTGCGCCTTCCCTAAGCCCGATGGTTCACCCTGCCTTAGCAAGGACCACGGTGCGCCTCAGCACCCTGAGAAGTGACATCATGCGCCCGACTCGCCACCCACAGGTGTTGCCGGGTCCATCCACAGCTGGGGGGAGCTGCCTGCTCCCCCGCCACTGCCACCGCCGATTCCACCATCGCAACAGCAAGCCCCCCGGGGCTCGCAAGTTTTGGACTTCAGCTTTCCGCCACTGCCGCCACAACCCCTCTCTGCCGATTGTACAGTTTCTGTGTCACCGCCTCAGGAGGCCGTACCCTCCGTGCATCATACTGGTTCAGTGCCTTCGGGGGACGTTGCCCCCTCCACATGCACTTCAAGCACTCCCATTGCGCCGATTCCGCCCGCCAGCGGTACCGCCCCTTTGGGTCACGCACTTGAATTTTCCAATTTCTGTGGGCCGGCCTTGGCAGGCCTCTTCGATTGCATTTTGTGCTCGTTGCGGGAAGCCCCTTGGCCCCAACAGGTTCGCCGTGCTCACATCATTTCCGGTGCCTCTTCTGCTTCAGGCTATTTTAATTTCGGGGTTCAGCTTTCTAGGCGTTCTTCACTTACTCAGGTCACCATCGCCCTGCCTGAGCTTTGCAGGGACCTGAATGCCCTATTCAGGTGCCTCTTTCCAAACGAGCACTGGAACGCTTTGTGTGTCTCGCGCAATGGCCTCACAGTGCGCTGCATTCCGACTCAGCGAACATTCCTGGCTCACGCAATTTGTCACTCTCGCTGGGCGCCTTCTCGGGTGGCCATCTGTGGATTGAGGACCTCTCCTGCCTCTCGCAAGGCCAGCCGACATCAGTTGCATCTGGCTCGGGCTGGCTGCATGGCTGTGCTATCGACACACATCGCAAAGCCATTAGCTTCGATGGCCGCATTAGACACATGACACTTCCTTTCTCAGGAGAGCGTTGGGCCCTCACAGCCTTTTCCCTGCCTGACGTGTGTTGTGCCGAACTTGAGTTTCTGGGTTTCCCACTGCCGTCTCCCCTCTTGGGTTCTAGTCCTGCCCCTAGTCCCTCTGCCTCCCCACCTCGCCCGCGGGGCTCGAGGAAGCAGACATCACTTCATCGCACTTACTAGCAGGGACGCACATTCAGGAGGAGTTTCCATCCAGTGGCAACCCTGGGTCAGCCTCCGAGGCGTCCGCAGATGTTCCTCCTGCGCAACATCTCCCTTCAGCACAGCCAATGCCCGGAGTACCGGAAGCCGTCTCGACTACTAAGCAGCACGAACCTCAGTCGTGCAGGGAACATACAGTCCATTCCAATTCGGCATCGTCTAAGCTGCCACTGGGATGCAAACTGTGGGGAAAACGCTCCACGTCAGGTTTGTTTCTCTCCCACAAGCTTAGGGTTGCACGCCCCTTGTCACCACCGGAGGGCGCTTGGCGAGCTGATACTTGCATTTCTTCCCTCCCGGCGCGTCTTTTTCTCGAGATCACATGGAACAATCACTCGCGCCATCAACTTAGCATGGCTGTCCGTGCTTCAGGTGGAAACTCCCTCACCCTAAGCCCCAGCCTTGACCCGACCCTGGATGTCCTTTGCCCAGACCTCCTCGAGCAGGTCCTCTTCCTTTGCGGCTCGGGAGCGGTCGCGTATCTTGCAGCATCGCCACTAGCCGAGTCAGCAGACTCGCCTGACGACGTGGGTTCCTCCTCGTGGCTGCTATCGGCAATGCACGAGCAAACGGCGGCGGCAAAGGTTTCCCGTTGCACCTGGCTCCTCAGCATTGTACACACTGCAGGGGGTCAAGGGCATTTGGAATTGCCCCCCACTTCTTCTTACTGGTCGTCTGAGCGGCCCCAGGCCTGGCTGCATCAGGGAAACTGTGCTCTGATCTTGATACCCCCATTACTGTACTCAGACTCAGCTATTCCGTGCCAGCCCCAGCTTTTGGCTGCTTCTTACCGCCCGCTTTCCGCCCTGGCGGTCAGCTCGCCCGCCTTCGCTCCCCCGCAATGCGCAAGTGCATTTGCATCTTCGTTTGCCACGATCGCTGCCCCTCTGCTCCCGGCAGAGGGCCGCGAGCTCTCCCTGCAGTCAGTCATCAAGTCTATCCCACGCAAAGGCCTTTTCGCAGGCCCACATGCACTTCATGATGGTGCTGGAAAACGCTCCATTGCCGATTGGAGCAGCCCTGCAAGCCATGATGCATTACGGGGATTACGCAAAGCCCTGCTGCAATTCTGCATCTCAGCTCGAGCCGACAAACGCTTGCTTGCTCGCGGTTCCTGCCCGTCGAATGAACCGCTTTTCAGCTCTTCCGAAGTGTCCGCAGCCAGGGATCTGGTGTTTCCTTCGCTGGGTATGCAGACCCCGGATAACGCTTGGTATGTGCATCCATACCAACCCATGTGCTTGCACGCGTTTGAAGCCCTGGCACAACATTGTGGCGATCAGGACATTCATTTGTTTCCGCATTTGCGTATGGGTGTGCCAACCGGGTACTTGAATGACATCCCCCCTTCCAACTGTTTCTGGCCTCCCAAAGGCCAATCAGGGGAGCTGATTCCATTGGCGCTCAATCTTGAAAACTGGAAGTCGGCCGATGTGGCTCCTGAGGTCACTTCGCGCTTGCTCCAAGAGGAGTTGGACGCGGGATACTGCTTTAAGTTTGAAGGCACACTTGAGGAGGCGAAAAGTAGATGGCCCGTTGGCCTAGCACTGGGAAAATTGGGGGTTGTTAGGGCTCCGGGGAGGGCCGAACGACTCGTGTTGGACAACAGCGTAGCTGGGACCAATTCTCAGTGCACAGTGCCGGAACGTCAATGTTTCCCGAGCATACACGATGTTTCGCATTCTTTCCCGATTCGCGAGACTTCCGACCGCCAGATGGCCATTTGCATTGATGTCAAGCAGGCGCACAAGCGCTGCCGCATCCGCGACTCCGAGCAGGGCCTGCTCGGCTTCACTTGGCACAACGCGCTATACTTTTTTCGCTGCTGCCCATTCGGAGCAGTTTTCTCACAGCATTGGTGGGGTCGCGTGGGAGGGTGCACTTTGCGCCTGTTACATACCCTGCTGTTCCTGGCCCATGTGGGCCTCCTTTTCGTGGACGACTTCATTTTCAGCCAAGCGGCCAGCCTCATGCCGCTCTCGGGAGCTGTGATATGCCTCTTTCTTCAGATCCTGGGTGTTCCAGTCAGTTGGAAAAAATTACAAATTTCTTGTCGGGTCGATTGGATTGGATGGCGGTTGTGCTTCTCTTCGGGTACGGTTAGTCTCAGGGAAGAAAAACGCTTGCGGCTCCTTGAACAAGTGCGTTCCCTTCTGAGGGGCGGGGGCCGTATCTCTACCAAGGAACTGGAATCCTTTCTGGGCCTTGCCATGTGGGCCTGTGCACTCTTCCCCACTATGCGTGCCATGATGCACCCTTTCTACAAAGACCTTTGGTCTCCGGCTGCCACTAATTTCAGCATTGCTCCGGAATCGTGGCATAGCATCTGTAATTTCCTTGATTCTTCACTCAGGTTTACGGCCTCACCTCCTCACACTGCCATCCCCGCGGGTGCTAAGCTCCTCTCGGCTCGTCATGTGCCTTTCACAACCCTTGCAGACTTGTCCAAAGTCGCCGTGACGCACAAAAGATTGTGGCTCCGCGTTGAATGCCTTAGCAGCTCGAGGCGGAAACTCTCCTGTGCCTCCATCCGCTCGTTGCAGGCCTTCGAGCGTTGGTTGCAACACGTGGCACCACTCGCCAGCATGCGCCCATCTCAGGTTGCAGACGTTGAGGCCTTTGCCGATGCATCGGCGTCCGGCCCATCTTGCAGTTTGGGGGGTTTTGTTTCTTGTCCGGTTCTAGGCCAGGTTTGGTTCACTGAAACCTTTTCAGTCCAGGAATTTGAAGCAGCAGGCATTCCTTTCGGCAATGACCTGGCTAAGGAGATAGCCAGTTGTGAAGCCCTGGCTCAGGCGGGGCTGATTCTTGCTCTCTCTAGGCTGGCTCCTTGCAGCAGGGTTCCTTTACGCCTCCCGTCCCTCTGCGATAACTCAGGGGCGGAGGCAGGTCTGAATAAGATGTTTTCCACCAAATTTCCCCTAGGCCTCGTTCTTGAACACATCGCCCTCCTGGCGGCCATGCATCGCATCTCTATCGATGTGTCTCATGTCCCAGGTGCCAAGAACTGCAAAGCCGACGCACTTAGCCGGCCGGCTGAGTACCCCACACCTCCAGACTGCCTTCCATGCCAGCGCATACGCTTTGGGCTCTCTGCTCTCTGGGAGCCTTGTCCTGAGGTGCAGATTTTCCCTTCCAGCTTCACCCTTCCTTGGCTTCGCTGAAATCTGCCACCCCCTTCAGCCCACACTTCCTTGGCTTTCTTGAGCGTGCTGTGGGGTGGCAAACTACCTTGGTGCAACAGTCGCCACCCCACAGAAGGCATCCTCGGGTCAACCCGTTTGTATGCTTGCACAGCCGATCTTTGCGATCCCATCGAAAATGAGTGAACCGAGTTCGGATTGCATTCATTTTCCGTTCTCGGGTTTAGGGTTTAGGATTTTGTCTAGGGTAACGGTTTTCCTTAGCAGAACGTACGGGTGGACTTGTCCACTGGTGTTTTGCAAATGGAAAAACGGTTTCCTTTCTTTTGGTAAAACTGGAAAGTTTTCCTTTATTCGCTTTTGCCAGTGCCTGCATCTTCTTGCCTCGGTACATGTCGTGAAGCTCTGTGCATCCGCACTCCGCTTTGGATCAAGTTGCAGCGAAGTCGCTTCGCAATTTTGATTTCCCACCCGACCCGCCCTGGTTTCGCTTGCGTGCACGCCGGCCTCGCTAGGCCCGGCCTTTACCGAACGTGCTATCCTTCCTTGCACCTTCACTCTCACTTTGTGCTTTGCCCCTGGCATCCTGCCACGGGCAATGTGCTTGCGCAGGCTGCTGCCTTCACATTACCATTGCTTCTTCTAATGCTGCACACGGCAGCGCGCAGCTGCCGCACCATGTCGTTCGGTGCTCCCTGCTGGGCCCGCCATTGGCCCCAATGCGTTTCACCGCCGTAGTCTGCAGGTCACCTCTTGCTTGTAGCCTCTGCTCTAGCGTGGACTGCTCAGTCCCGGAGGACCCTTCTGGTCGCTCCCTTAGTCTCAAGCTGTCACTCAAGTGTTGTAGCTTCACTCGTAGTTCTTTTGTCCGTGGGGTGGTGCAACAGTCGCCACCCCACAGAAGGCATCCTCGGGTCAACCCGTTTGTATGCTTGCACAGCCGATCTTTGCGATCCCATCGAAAATGAGTGAACCGAGTTCGGATTGCATTCATTTTCCGTTCTCGGGTTTAGGGTTTAGGATTTTGTCTAGGGTAACGGTTTTCCTTAGCAGAACAGGGCTTGAGCCTGGCAGCCCCATTGGTTGCCATTTGGGACACGGAGAGCTTTTACTCAGTGGCGGCTACGTTGGGAATAAGTTTGGTTAATTACTTTGGTTGTTTTCTTTGGGCTCCCCTACTCTCTCCTGAAGCTCTTTAAGTGGTGCTTGGGAGTTTTTTTCCTGGAGGCCAGCAAAGTGCAACGCCGGAAGCCAGACTGAACGCGAGAAGCCAGTGAAGAGCCAGAAGGATCGCGACCAGGAGCGATTTGCCCAGGAGTATGTCAGCCGCTACACAGAGCTGCAGCAGATCTTCAGCGAGAAGTGCCGGGAAAGGGAAAAGATGGAAGACATGCTGTATGAGTTGCGCACCGAGAATAGGATGCTGAGGGAAGCTTTGGCCCGTGCTGAGGAGAGGCGAGCACCGCCACAGCGGATATGCGTAGCCACTAGCAGAGGCGAGAGGTACCATGTCCCAGGCTGCGGTAACATCCGTAGATCGAATAGCGTAAGATACTTTACACCTTGCCAGGCATGCCTAGGGGGATGAAGGACCAAAATCGCCGATTTCTGTATAGATTTTCTGGAAGCAGTGCGGCATATGCGCCACAGCGGCGCATGATGCCGAGGCGGGGTGAAAGACATGATCCCTGCCCTTTGTACACACTTGCAAGTGCGACTTTACGAAGCCCTGCGGTTCTCAGTGAAAAGTTGCACATTGTCAAAATGTTTAGGATTTGAAAGCAAAGTGGTTTCGGATATCTGCAAGGCTTTTATTAGTGTTAAAACTCAAAAATGCTGGAGGAATGTTACGCATCAGTTGCAAATCAAATTGTTGACCCGTAATGTCGTTTCTCGGATTATTTATTGCAGCAAGTTTCATCGAAGATCAGCTTGTTGAATCAAGGAATGGGATTCGTGAGGAGGAGCCATTCACCAACAACGCAGGACTTCGGGGTTGGAAAAAGTATCCGGTGATGTTTGCATGTGAACCAGCGGACTCACGCGCCGCCGCTTGATTTTTCATGTTTTGAAGCTGCACACTTCCGGCAGTTGGTTCACTTGGAACATATAACAACTTTAGACAGCTTTGCATTCGAGAGAAGTCGACACGTGCAAGTTTGCAAATACCCAGCGCATTCAATTCAGAGAAGAGGCTCGCATGCGTCTGTGAAGTTGGCAGTAAAAAGCAAGCATTGATATGGCGGTCATTGTTGCAATTGTCGTCACAATGTCATGGAGAAGACGTCGGCAGACGATGACGAGGTTTTGGAATGGCTGCGCGACCCCATTGCAGGAGCTCGAGAAGGATGTTGTGGAGAAAGATTGCCGAGCAACCGGTTGTTGCCTGCCAGGGCACTTCCTCAGTTTTGTTTCCTAGGTTCGCAGAATGCAAGACTGTTATAGCATTCTTTTGACTTGATGTTGTTCGTCAATCCCTGGAACGCAGCCATTGCAAAACCCGCAGTGTGTGTGAACGGTTGAAGTTGCAGCTGAAACACGATGGCATCGGCCATTGCACCGTCACGATCCGACATGCTTCGCTACCATCGCTTGTGACTGTTTTCTTGTGAGGAGAGCTGCTCCCTCTCTTGGCCGCATCTTGGTTGCAGTTTACCATTCGAGCAAGAAGCATGCATGCTGAGTCTTGATTCTGAGCAAGATGATTGCAAGTAGACGCTTAGGCTTGGACATAAGTTTTTCTTAAGCCTTCCCACAAAAGCTGCCGTGAAAACAGAGTCAGGGAAGCTTGTTACGAAATCGATCGTCGATATGTTCGTATGCTTTCTCCGCTGTGGCTTGTTTTAGGATGGTGGTCTGAGATAGAGAGATAGAGAATCCAAGACTTGAAGTTAAGTGCGTCAGCCACCACAAAATCTTGGCTGAGGTAACATCAAGCAACTATCAACAAGTTTTTGACTTCTGGCAGCTGCCGTCTCAGCGTCTGCACGGGCTGTTGCGCTTGCAGGTCAAGTATGGTTTGGGTCCACGTTGTGGTTTCCGGCATTGAATGCCGGGACTTGCGGTGGTCGTTTTGGTTTGATGGAGCTGTTATCACAACAGGTGTTTCAGGGCGACAACCAAGCAGGCAAGCAGGTCGGCAGTCACCGGGACGTCGTGCAGCAGCCCAGTGCTAAACTTGCAAGGTCTTCACTTCGGTGTCTCGGCTATCCCAGGCCAGCTTTTGGATTTGCTTACGGCTTACGGCCATGGGAACAAGGAGCAGGGTGCATACGAGAACTGATGTGTTTTGCCGTCGTGACGGTGGCTGTGCCGCAAATCTGGGCTCAGAGGGAAGGTTGCCGAAGGCAATAGGCTTTTGGCTTCCTTCTCGGCTTCTTCCCCCCAGCTCCTTGGTGCCGTCAGGGGGATCAGCCCGGTTTGTCTACGATAAATTCCAACGTTCTGCTTCTACCTGTGCACCAGAACTTGCGCGTCAGTTCCTTTCTTTGCTCAGGCCCGCCATGGGCAAGAAGGCCAGGGCACCGGGGTTTCCGAGCTTGAGTCACTTCGGAATCGGGAGAGTTGGACCTGAGCTTTTGTTTCGCTTTGCTGCAGCTTTCTTGCGACGGGGGACAGTGATGTATTAGCCAGTCCGCTCATCAAGCGCTCGACTTTTCCTTGGCTTCTTGTATGCGAACGAGACATCCGCAAACTGCAAGGTTTTAGCCCGAATGCCTGGGCGATCCTGTTCGAATGTGATGCTACCAGCGGGACCCCACTCCCCACTGGACAGGGCAAGAAGAAGGCGAAGCTCACCGGCACCCCGGACGTTGTCCGCTTCAAGGGCACGCGAGAATACTGCCTACTCCAGGCCTCCATGGCTGCCGTCTAGCGTGGGCCGGCTGGTCCCTGTTCTTGACGGACTTGTTGCTGGTTTTGAGATCACATCTGAAGGAATGTAAAGAAATCCAAGAAAGCCTCCCGTTCGTCGCAACGGATGCCTTGGACGACTTCGCATATAAGAAGGCGGGCAGCAGCTTCTGCTTCCGTTCCTTTAGATGCAGTCAAAGCCCAAAGCAACCCATTTTTGCACTACGACTGCAGGTCGCGAGGTTTCTAAACATGGTGGGCCTCCTCGCGGAGTACTTGGGCATCCACTCCAACAAGGACCTTGAACATCCGTCTGTAGAAACGCTCGGAAGCCAAAGCTAAAGCCTTGTCTTGAGAGCCCGCGAGCCAGCAGTGAAACTGTCGGTATTAGCGGTATCGGCAAGACCGGCATGTGTGTTATGTCGGGCAGATGCGTCCTTGCAAAGCCACATGCGGCAGGACTACAGATTCAACTTTTTTCACCGGTCACCTGCTGAGACGATTGAGCTTCTCCATGGTTTCAGCCAGCCAAAGCGATCTCAGCCGACTTGTCCTCGAGGCTCTTGTCGCCGACCCCGCAGTTTTTCCCAATGGGCTTTGACGTCAACGTCATCCGACAGGCACAGCGGGGCGTAGCCGGTTCAGTTAGGATCGCAGAGGCTCCGAAGCCACAACGCCAAGACCCGAAGTGTCGAACGACAGCTCACCGCCTTCATGCAGGCGAGAGAAGCCCAGGAGAGACCGGGTGTGTGTCTTGGCGCAACTTTCGGCCTGATGTCTGGTAGCCAAAGTGTTGAACCAAGCGAAGCCTTAGACTACTTGACACGAGAGCTGTTGTGGCAAGCTGGAATCAGGTTTTGCTTTCTTTTTTGCGTCTTCCAATCGGGAGGATGCGGTTGTCCAAGCATCTAGAATCTAGTGCGGGAAGCATTACTTATCTTGCAGCAGAAGAGGCCGGACGCATGGGGTCCTCCATGGTCCTCCATACTCCGCATGAGAGTGGGCGGGATCCGAGAAATGTAAGCCGAAGTCGTCACCGTGCTGGAGCCTTGCATCGAGGGTGAGTTAAACCGATTCCCGAGGACCTTCAACGGAGTGCTGCACACGTACCCGGATGAAATCAAGCTTGCTGCAGTTCCTTGGTATGGATTTGGGAAGGGTACTGTTGTTTTGAGTCGTTAAGGCACCGGAAAGCGCTTTATGCTGTTTTAGATCCCGAGCTATCTTGTAATGCACTCCAAGGAAGGCTTCTTAAAGGAGGTCGACAGCACCATGACGAAGATCGCCAGTGAAATTGAGCCGCGGCTCAAGGACGCCGTGAGAGGATCATTCTTGGCAGAGCACGAAATTCGTCTCGTCGTTCTTGGAAGGTGTGGCTCTCTTGGCGGCAATCATCTGCACTCTGATTACCTGAAGATGTTATAGACCAAGTGAAGCTGAATCTTTCCGACCGGGAGGACGACTTCGCGCCGGGCCTACCTCGCTTCAAAGCAGAGTTGAAGGCACTCCGAGCAACTGGGGGTGCCTTTGAAGTTGGCACTGGCCTGGAGTACGATGGGTTGGAGTATGCCCTTCATGAGAATCTGTTTGAGATGCTGTCTCCGAAACCACCGTAGCCAAAGCTTGGAGTGGGAAGCTTGAAGTAGAAACAATTCTCTGCACTCATGCGGGACTTGTCACTTCTCAAGCTCTTTCGGAGGAGGTCGTCGCATGATTCACATGGAGTCGAGGCACCCCAGCCAGTGCGTTGCGGGGTGGCTTGTGCTTCGGTGCAGGACGACATAGAGCTCTTCGATCGCCTGTGGATGGAGTTCGAGGTGGGCTTCTGTGGGTGTCGGTCTCACGTGCCGGCTTAAAGACACTCTGAGCTCTGGCGCCTGAACTCACAGCTCTGGCCCCGGGAGGAGCGGTTTGTCAAAGCGCGGCACGAGATCATGACTAAGGCCGCCGCGGCGGATTGCGCCTTTGGTCGTTTCAGGTAGTTTCAACTCGTCCAAGAAGCTGTTTGGATCCTTGAGGATTTCTTGAAGCTCCCTGGCCCTAGCCACAAGAAAAGAAGCCGCCCAGAGAATCTGCAGGTCTTCGAAAACGTGGAGCAAATCATCACTGTGGAGCTGGAGCTGACTCAGGCCGAGGAGTCGCCTGGCAGCATGGGGATGCAGAAGTTGCCCTTTCTTACGTGCCGGGAGCTGCAAGACGACCTGAGGCGGAGGGATATCGAAGGAAAGCAGCGGTTGGAGAATGACTTTGTCTCCGCCACTCGAACTAGATTGGTCGTACCTGGGCATGGCTGTCCCTTCGTGCAAGTGCATCAATTGCTCGACTCAGGTTGTTGACGCTTGGATCTGATTAGCGGTCTTGTCGGCTTGTCGTCTCTGCTGCCCGTTTGGAGCGGCTAGCCCGTGTGGCACGGGAGCTTCTAGCATCATTGGCGAGCTCCTTCGCTTCGATGTTCGACGTTCTAAGGAGCAGTTTACCAACAAGCCACTTCTCTGCACCAGCTTTCGACAAGGACCTCGTCCTGTCAACGGCCACCATGTTCCCCGAAGCCTAGCAGCTTAGGCTGTTTCCCGAGACATCCTCCGACAAGCTCCCTGCCGACGTAATCCCGCTGGCAGAAGCTTGCATCTTCTACGAATCCAAGTGCGACTTTGATTGGATTTATGCTAGACCTAGCGGCTTAGCGATGTGAGTGCCCAATGATGTCTCCGAAATGATCGGTTCATTGACAAGGTACAGAAGATTGGCTCCATTTGGCCAAGCATCTGATCTATGCGACCGGGCTGCCAGCAGATTTTCCATCTCGAAGCGTCGCGAGGTATCCGCCCTCCACCCCCATGATCGGTTTTCGGAGTCTGTCAAGTTCCTGTGTTCCAACGGAGTCCTCCTACAACGATTCTGGGCAACTTGTACGAAGCGGGTTCACCAAGTTCGTGCATCCCTGTCATTCAGGAATACTTGGAACTGAGACTTTACGTCCGGAGCTTAGATTTTGATCTGGGATAACAAACATCCTGCCAATGGACCTCGATGGAGTAGCCAAAGCACTTCGCATTTGCAAAGGGAGCAATCGCGACTGCCACACAAGCCCTTCCATATCCAGGTCATGAAGATTCCGGAGCAGCGGCTAAGCCCCCAGCTCAAGGTGCACGGGTAAGTTTGGGCTGTGTGAGTCAATGCAGATGGTTTGGTATAGTCTAGACTCCGGAACATTCCTCAGCCTCAAAATCCGTGCAGGACATCATTTGCTTAATGCGCTTTGGATGAATACGTTCGAGGTCCAGGCATTCTGTCAATGAAAAGTTAAGCGCGACGTATCCAGGCATTCTTCACAGACCAGGTATGGTAATTGGCATGGTAACTTCGGCTTCCTCCTGTCCTTGTTGATATCGTTTTGGCCCGTTGTGGGCATGGGTGCATGGCGGAACGCTTCAAGACCCGGCTGGCAGGACAATCCGCAGTTCATGCGGCACCTCAAAAACTTCCACGCAGCTGTGCTGGCTGCCAGGGAGGTTCCCCACCACTTTTCCTTCAACATGTTACTTGGCATGTACTGCTTCTCCACCGCTTGTTGACAGGCGCTGGATTTCGTTTCAAGGCTTCCGAAACTGATACACGCCAAGACATCTGCCCGGTCCTCAGTCGTGTTGAAGCCCGCGCTGCTATGGAGTCGTAAGCGCCGGAGCTTTTGTTGATGTTCGGAAGCTGTTCGTGCCACGCACAGGTTTCGGATGTTTTCGCGTGAGCCGGAGTCCAGGTAAGTCTTGAGTGTAGTGCAGCTAAGGATTGGATGACGAAGCGTCTGTTGGAGCCGGACCTGAGGCAGCAACACACGGGGGGTCAGATCGAAGCTGAATCGCCTGATGCACCTTGCGTTTTTAGAGCTTATTAGAGCTTCAGAGTCTGCCCTCATATATGCTCTTGTTAGAGACCCCTAAGAGCACACAGGCTGGTGTCTCGGTCTGTTTGAGTGCTCTTGAGCGCTGGACAGGTACATTCAGAAAACTTCTGCTCTGGCCATCACGGAGGGCTTGCACTGACCCGAGGAATTCAGATAGAAGAGCTATCCCTTTTCCGGGTTTCGAATAAGTGACACTGCGGTGCACGAAAAGATGGAAGCATGTATGGATCCATCTCGCTGGGGATAGCGCCATCTTTTTCGGGGTGGACGAGGCACCTCTGTTTCACAGCCCACTGCTCAAAGGGCCTGGGCCATGTGAGGCGAATTGACCCCTCACGTTGACAAAGGTATTGGGATTGAACTGGGCCTTCAAGGGTTTGTGTATCTGTTCGTTCGAGGATTTCCAGTGTGCGCTTGGCTTGCTCTTTGATGATTTTTCCAGCATGTTCGGTTTGGTGACCCGGTGCAGTGTGCGGTTTCCGACGACTTTTCACTCATCCTGCATGCCGTCCAGTTCCTTTCGAGCAGGCACAAGATCAACGTGGTGGACTTAGGGCAGCCCTGCCCTGAGCGAATCTGAACGAGCTCAAGCAATTTGACGCTCGCACGCTTTTGGAGTTCTTGTTGTGTTCACGTCTCAAGGCTGACACCTCCCTTCGGCTACTGCACGGAGTCTTGGAGAAAGGCAATTGACTGCCAGCTCGAGGAGGCAGACGGGAACTTCGGAATGTTTGGGACTGGTCAAGACGCCGGCAGGGCTGGAAGCAAACTTCTCAGGAAGGCACGAATGCGAGATCATGCTTAGCCACATCCGGTCTAAGAAGAGAGTTCCGGCATCCCTGAATCCAACCGAGCCATATTGCAAAATGTTGCAAGGGGCACAGTGTGCGAGTTCTTCACACAGCAGGTCGTCACCTGGATTGACCACCACATGGGCGAGTACTTCATCCACACGGACGGGTTGAAGCTGTTTTGGCAGACTTTTGGCCCATCCGGAATGCCAGTCTTTGGAGTCTGAGACTGCTCATTGCCCAGGACACTGACATCCAGTTCTTCCCTCGATTTTTGCAGGCAGCCCGGATGTGACAGTCTTGGGTTTAGTAGGTGCGGTTGATGTGTATCTTCGAGTGTCCGATACTTGAGTAGGTCGAAGCTGATTGCGCGCAATCCTTCAGAGCGTTCCTAAGGCAGCTTCAGCGCGAGTGGCTGCAGTGGATGAAGGACATGGCTGTGGAATGACATACTTCTCCGAAGGATGGCAGTTTGAAAGGCCCCTGCCAGCATGACGAGTATTGGCGCCAGGATGAGTCACTTGACATGATTTTCATGCGCGAGCGCACAGAGGCCAGCGATGCCGAGTCAATTGATGGTTTGTCCACCCTTGACTATACTTGTAACAACTTCTAGAAGCTTGCAGCCTTGCCAACTGCCTCTCCACCAGGTTATACCTCATCTTCGCCTCGGCGAGGTGAATGCTGGTTTCTACGTCGTCCACTGCAATGATCGGACCAGGCTGCTCCTTGCCTCGCTGACAGAAGAGAAGCGGTTCAATCGAAGATTTCCGGCAAGGTCCTTCTGGCAGACTGTTCTGAAGGAGGAGCAGGCAGGATCATGATATCGAGCCTCCAAATCCCCAGCGCGAAGCACGATTGCTGGGAGGCTTGCCCAAAGATGGAGGGCCATCCGCCGTATACCGTGCTGGACCCAGGAAGCAGCCTCTACAGAGGTTCTTCGAGTTGGAAGTTGCATTCGGGCCCCCGTTTCTTCCCTGCACAGGATCAGTTTCACTTGAATCGTGGACTCGGCCACCGCCGGGGCGCTTTCCCTCAGGACTGGAGCCAAGGTTCATGCGTGCATGCAATTTTGACGTGTGCAGGTGGTGTCTGTCGTGATTCATGGATGCATGTGACCTCCACAAATTCAATGGCTGTACTTACGGGACTTATTTGTCCGGCCGAGTCAACCCTCTGAGACGCCCTGAGGCTTCTCTGACCGAAGCTGAAGCATCCCAAACGCCTGTCAATCCCCAGCAGTGACAGCGAACACACCGAAGCACAAGGAGGGGGCCTTCGGAGTGCGCTGGGCGACGTCCTCAGATTCGGGCTGGTTTAAGGCTGGCATGTTTCTGAGCCATCTTATGAAGGACTGTTGCTTCTCTTCAAGTGTTGATTTTCCGCTCTTGCCGGTGAAGGTTGGGATTGCTTTGGTGGTTGGCGCTTGAGGATGTGTTTGCAGTTGAGGCGACAATACCGGACTACCACTGCATCTGGAGCACTCCTTCTGAAAAGGAGGCCATGCAGCATCCTACCGGGGCCCCAGCGCAGCACTCGGATGCCGACCTTTTTGCAGGTGAGGTTTGCCGCCTTCCACCACGCGGTGAACACCAGAGACCAGCTTTTGCATGTCTAAAACGACTCGCTTTGTTTAGCTGGGACGAGTCGATGCAAATTCTGCTTTGTCATGTGGAGGACAAGCCTCAACTTCTTCGTGCCGTGCGGCAGCAGGCAGAGTCTCTCCAACTCTGAGGGAATCTGAGGTACAGGTTACGATTGGCGATATAGTCATGACGATCGGGCGGAGCATGAGCTTGCCCACCTCAGACCCGCCTAAGCCAAAGCTGTCGTCGCGACGAGGTCTGCGCCGTTCAGCTGAGGCAGCCCCCAGGCCTGTCGCACTACAACAGGGGTGGGCGGGTGGGCTCTCTCATGGCATCTAGGGCTCGGCAGCCGCCCTCGACAATTTTTCTAAACCCAGCTAACACGTGTCTCAATCTGCAACGGTCGCCACAACACTATGCCACATTGCCAGAAGATGGGAGGTTTGCTGGGGAAGCTGCCGCTATGCTCGGAGAACCGCGGTGGAGGCGGGGTCAGGGTCTCCAATGACTCGAACCTGAGCCGGTGGAGCCCCTGCTGGAGCCCCTGGCATCGCACAGGAGGCCTGGGCTCTACCAGCCTGGTTGCCCAAATGGAGCAGCCAGGCCCTGAGCGGCGAAAGTGTCACGGGTTCTGGTGGGGACCGCTTGCGATTGCCACATCGCTGAGGCTTGCTTCAGCTTTGAGAGGTGCACCTGCCGGGATTCGGTTGCAGGCTTCTTTGCCGAGCTCGCTCTGACTCCTGAAGCACTTTGCCAGATTCCTGATCAACTCTGTTTTGCACTGGGCCCGAAGCCCGAAATCATCTCCAGGAGTCCGTGCCCAGTCTAGACAGCTCACTCCCGCCGAGTTGCAGGTGGGCTTGCAGGGGTGTGGGTTTTGGCATATGCATACCCGTACGCCTGCCACGGCAGCAATGGAAGCAGCCATCATGCCACACGGGGAAGAAAGGCACTCATGTGAGAGCCACGTGATGGCATGACAAAGCCGCGTTAAGGAACATAATGTCGATGTCACAGCAGGGGCAGAGCAGGAGCCGAATGAGGGCAGCGAGAGCAACCCGAGAGAAACATCGGACCGTGCACGTGAGCTAAAAGCAACACCCCGGCGCCAAACATCCCACATCAGCGACGGAGCTTTCAACCACTGTGTCTTCAATTATCTAAATGGCCTGCTCGATGCCTATGTCAAAGGTCCCCACCCTGCAAGAGTCTTCTCAGGGGCATGGAGTTTGTAGGTGCAACGGGGAAACATCACAAAAAAGGACTGCAGATTAGACTCTTCATGTTAAGTTGTGATCCAGGACTCGCATCCCAGATATGCAAAGGCACTCCTCCAATTCCCTTTGTGAGCGTTTTTATCGAACTGAGAATATTACATGCGTTTCGTTCTTAGTAACAGAACCGCCGTGGCGGCAGTGACCTCTGCAGCAGCTTCTTGCCAGCTGCAACAGCCAGTAGCAGTGTCAAGAGAGATCATCGTTATCAGCGAGTGTAGCATGTAGCAGTGTTTTCGGGTATCTGTTCACGTTTACTGGCGGGAGTGTTGTGCAGCATTCGGAGATCTTTGTCTGGAATTTAGTTTACACGTGTAGGTGCGTAGCTACCTCGGTCGCCGCTGCAGAGGGCTACGCAGCCTGTTGAGCTATGTCGAGCGGACTCTGCAGAAAGGTTGGCACAACAGATGGTGAAACCTGTCAGGATTTCGATTTGCTGGCATGGGCGAAAGGCTTCTGTGAGGTGGGGGAGCCGGTGACGGATCAGCTTTGTTACTACGAAGACCATTTGGCTAAACCTGGGGAAACCTTTCGTCAGCAGCTGCAGCGGCAAATGGAGGAAGACTTTCGCAACTGCGCTGAGGAGCTAGACCAGGGGTCTGTGAGTGAGGAGCTTGCCGTGGGAAGCCCTTCCGCAGTACAGGCTTTGCTGCACCTGCTGGAGCGGCTGATGCTGCTGCATGAGGCGTGTCAGCCATCGGGCGGAAAAGGCGAGTTGTGCTGGAAGATCAATTTTGAGGTGAACCAAAACGGGGCCTGCACAAAGTATCACAACGACCGCTTCGACAACGTCCGTTTCGCCGTGACGCTGGCCGGCGACGGTACAGTCCTTGCTGGCCAGGCGAAGGTCGACTGGGATTTCCTTGAGACATGCCAGAGGGCCGTCCCGGCCCTTGCCGAGAATCCTGAGCTCTCTGCAGCAGAGGCCCTCGCAGCTATCCAGGAGTGGAACGAGAAAGTCTGTCCTGGTCACGTTGCTTCCGAACCCGGAGACCTGGTCATAATGAAAGGGGGGCACTTGACCAAGCAACCCTGCCTGCGCCGGGCACCCTACTCTGCCGGCGAAGGGTTTCATCCTGCAAGGCTCCCCATCACCTTGGATCTCCTCCCGAAGGACGCGCTGCAGCAGTTCATCGACATGGATTTCGGGGATGCAGATGGCAAGAACGAGCCCATGAATCAAGCTCTCCTGCCTCAGAGTCTTCTACCAGCGACCGTCCTCAGCGGTTTCCTCGGTGCAGGCAAGACGGCGCTCCTGACGAATTTGCTCCAAAGCCGAGAGGGCCTTCGGGTCGCTGTCATAGTCAATGATATGGCAGAGGTTAACATCGATGGCTCGCTGCTGAAGTGCGGGGCTGAGTTCTGTGTTCAGCAAATCGGGTTCTTGGGATTACACGAAGTCGGATCTCTGGAAACTTGTCACAAAATCAAAAGGAAACCGCGCGAAAAAATCTCCGAGTTGGCTGTCTGCACGGGCACGCAATACTCGGAGTTGGCTGTCTGCCTCGATTGTAGGTACTTGCACTGGGTTTGGCCGACTCGAGTAGTAGGGAGTAAGCTTCTGCAATGGGCACCATATCGAACCCAGGTCCGGATCTGAGCTCCTCAAGAGCCACGACAGGATGGTGCAGATGCAGAAAGGCGACATCAGCTGTGTGCTCCGTGAGGATCTCATCGAGAACGTGACGAAGCTGGCTGCAGAGAAGCGGTTCGACTATCTCCTTATCGAAAGCGCTGGCATCTCGGAGCCAATGCCTGTAGCAACCACATTCGTCCACGAACATGACGGTAAAGCACTGCTTGGCAGTGTCGCTCGCCTGGACACGCTCGTGACCGTCGTTGATGCTTCAAACTTCCTGAAAGACTACGATGCAGATCAGCAGCTGCGCGACCGAAAAGAGCTGGGAGCCGACGAGAATGATCCGCTACCTAGCCTAGACAAAGCTGAATCTCGTCACTTTTGCGCCAGGTAGCCGCTACCTGGCGCAAAAGTGACGAGATTCAGCTTTGTCTAGGCTAGAGGGTTTGACATTGCACGGATCCGAGGCGGACGATTGCACAACTCCTTGTTGAGCAAGTGGAGTGTGCCAACGTCATAGTGTCATAGTGTTGAACAAGGTAGACCTGGTTCAGAAGAAAGACCTTGAGACGCTGGAGGCGCTTCTGAAAAAGATCAAGGTGGTGGGCGCTAGCTTTGGCAAACTTTGACTCGAGTCTCTTGCTGAACACGCGCAGCTTCGACATGGAAGAGGCCGAGCGCGCATGCCAGGCGCTGGTTTCAGGAGTTGCAAGGAAATCAGGTGCCTCGGGTGCCTCGGGTGCCCGATGCCATGGAGTACTACGGTGTTGCCAGCCTGGTCTTCCGAGCGCAGAAGCCCTTCCATCCAAAGCGCCTGGACGAGCTGCTGAAGAGAGGACTGGAGACGGAGATTCTTCGATCCAAGGGCCCTTTTGCTTGGACCTGCTAGTAGCGCATTTTTTCCTCTCTGGTTGAAGAAGGCTCCTTCTTGGATTTCTTGGTGTTTTAGACGGTCCTGCCTGTCGAGGTCGGCTTTGGGTGGCCGGCCTAGATGATGTTTCTTTCATTTGGCATCAGGCAGGCAGCACGCTGTCCATCGACGTCGGTCCTGGCTGGCTGCACGGCTCTCTAGATCCCAAAGACTGGCCTGCCGACACTCCGCAGGAGTACCGAACGCAGCCCTATGGAGAGACTCGCCCACCCTTCACATGTTTCAGCCTTCTGCCATATCGTTAGAGAGGGTTCTTTCCTGTTTTGGACAGCGAGGTTGCCGGAAATGACGCGTGTTGATAAGGACCGGCGGCAGGAGCTGGTCTTCATCGGAAAAGACCTGGACCAGGACTCCCTGCGCCAGCGCCTGGAGCAGAGCCTGGTCACGGAGGTTGAGTTTGAGCAGGGCAGGGAGGAGTGGGCCAAGTGGCCCAATCCCTTCAAGGGAACCGAAAGGCCAGTGCGGAAGAAGGGAAATCTGGCGGCCAGAAGGGCGGCCCTTCGGAGAAAGCGGGCAGCAGCCGCGCCGGCGGCGGCAGGAGATGGCAGGAGATGCGCCCCAGGCGTCCCGGCCCAAGAAGGCCAAGACTGTCCAAGAGAGCCAAACATCCGGTCAAGGCACCAGCGATGCTGAGGTGAGCCCTTGCCAGGATCGTCACCATGAGCACCACCTTGAGAGTGCATCTCGATTGTGTAGACTAGGCAGATGCCGGTGCTCATGACTGCTGTCATATGCCGTCTGATCCGGGACGCTTGAACAACGAGCGGTGGTCTTTCCGCAGATATCGGCAGCGGACCTTGTACAAAGTACTCAAGAGGTGCCATGGTTCTGGTAACTAGAAGGCCGTACAAAACTTTAAGTTCGTAGAAGGCTCTTGCAGGCCATGGCACACCACTCGCTTTAAATAACATGTTCATGGTTGCAAGCCATGTCTGTACAGAAGCAGAAGTCGAACGGAGCGGACGTCAGCCCACAAAAATGCGAATCCGAAGGCCGGCTGAAGGCTTCGAGGATACTTTGGTGCTGGCAGTCCTTGCTTTGCAAGTTTCCGAGACTTCTTGGAAGTTTCGGTTTGCATGTCGCATGTCTGTTTGGAAAGTCCTGTGCATTTGGTGCTTCGGACTAGCTTTTGGCTCCTGCCGCGTCCTGCGCTGCTGTCATTCGAGATGTTTGATGGTTTGGTTCCTGAGGAATCAGTGGGTTGCATGCCATTCGATGCTATTGGCGAATGTCGCGGACGTCGTATCAATAGGCTGATATCGTATCTGTCGGTTGCCGCACAGTTGGCATACATCCGAAAAGCTTGTATGTGTCGAGAGACAGGGGTCGCATGAGGCATCGTAGTGAAAGCACGCTTGTTCATAGCACGAAGCATGTTTGCAACATCTGAGATTCCTAAGGTGCTGGATCCAAAGCAGGCATCTTTTCGTGCGCAAGTAGGATCATATTGTAGGGACAAACTTCTTGCAAGCATGATCGACCAGGCGCTCTGCCACTTGCGCGAGGAATCCGACGCTCTGTTACAGGCTCGTCTTGCAGATGGCTGGCAGCTTTGCGCTTTGTCTCGCTTGAAACCGGAAGACTTGAGGCTTTTTTCGGAGATCGGATGGAAGTGCTGCTGCTAGAATGTGGCTGCTGTAGGAAAACATTCTGCAGGTGCAATCTTCGATCTGTACGGGCGGGCGATCACAGAAGGTTTTGACAACCTAGTGCGACATACAGCGGACGCCCATGGCCAAGCAGACGAAATTAGCATTGACTGTCCCTGGCAATCCCAGTCATGACTGACAATCAAAAGCATGCCGGACAACAGCCTGGAACGTGGAAGAGTCTTAAAGATAGTATTGACAGATATTGGATGTACTTGAAGCAGTATTCAAACTTTGGCACAAGCAAGCAAGAGGCGACTAACCGCAGGAGCATGGTTCTCTCAGTGCGTTTACGTGCCGAGGCGCAATACGATAGTACGACGTGTTATCATGCGGCAACATGAGCAACGCAAGCATCGGAACGTGCTCGAGTAGCAGCCGTAGCCATACTTGGACTCCAAGTAAGTCCAATGAGACAGCGCATCCAGGAATACCCATTGACCAGGTGACCATCTTTTCATACTTCTCTTCCCCGTTCTCCTCCTTGCGATTATGATGATGTCCGTAGTCTTCCTCCCTTCTCCTGCTCCTCCCCTCCTCCTGATCATCATCCTCATCCTCATCCTCATCCTCTTCCTCATCCTCATCATCGTCATCACCATCATCACCATCACCATCACCGTCACCATCACCCTCCTACTGCTCATCATCATCGCACTGAAAATCGTCGTATCATGACCGTCGTCGCTGTTTTTCACGCCGTGGAGTCTCCATCACCATGCACATCAGTTGCGAGCGGACCAGGTTGTTAGAAGGATTCGCAATCTTTCATGAATGTGTAGCAGCCTCACTCTCAACTTACAGGTTTTGTTGAATTTTCAACAGCCTTCCCTTGTCAGATCTGGCCTCAAAGACGCTGGCAATCACGGGGCTCTGCAAAAGTTCAGTTTGATGACGTGTTGGTGCAAAGCCGGCTTGTGTTCCGTCCTGAAGGCTTCCGAATCCAGCGCCTGCTGCGCCTCCTGTGGGGTCTCAACCTTCTGGTGGACTTTGAGGCGTGCAGCAGAGCCTGACGGTCCTAACGTTCTTCGGCCGCAAGTCTCGCCAACTCTGCAGGTGGAGCAGCGAAGATGGTCAGGGCTACTGCCGGCATTGCTGGTTGCAGTGGCAGCACGCCCAGCCTAGCAGTTGTTCAAAAAAGGTTTTCATGGCAGTGCTTGCCTGTCATAGTATTTGAGTACACGGCTTGTGAAGTTCTTGAGAGGGTTCCGTGGTCAGGAGGACGTGTTGGATCCATATCTGCTCACATTCGCAGTGTTGTTCCCACGATAGCTGCTAGACTGCAGGCTGTATGTCCGTTTGTGATGCCCTTGATGTGTGTGGATGTTGGTTCGTCGGCTTTTTGAGACTTTGGGCTCATTTTGTTTCTGCGTGCATCTGTCAATTGGAATCGTCGTACACAGATTGGCGCAAGCCTTGCCGGACCAGGTCCCGCGATCTGCAAGACAACCAGCAAAGGCCGCGGTGTCGTGATGCGGTTCGTGTGATGGACATTGTTAGACTCCGTATGAAAGGTTACAATAAAGTTGCTACTGCAATAGTAAGTCTGGAGCCTAACCACCTGCGTGCTCGGCGCTGCTTCTCCTTGCTAGCTTGCACTTCGGGTGGCCGATGTACTGCGACAGGTCTCATTACAGCGGAGCTTGGGCCGATGATGTGATGCAGAAAACAAGAGTCAGCGGCTTCAGCTTGCGCCGTGAGTGCCGTCTGTTGGGGCTCTGCTCTGCACGCCGTCTGCGCGCGTCAGCGAGTCTCATAGGATGTTCTCTGTGCGTCAATGTCAATGCAGTGTGGAGTCCGCGTGCACGTCGTTTTTGACCCACCGCTTCGGCTGATTTGCCAATCGCCCTTCCAGGGTACGAGACTGCTTTCGTCTCGCCCTCTGTGTGCACTTGCAAGACCCGGTCATCCTGATTGCGCATCGTCCACGCTGGCCAGTCCAATATATCAATGGCACCTACATTTCACGAAGTTCACGATGTGGCGGAACCGATTTTGAAGGCCTTTCTGTTGAGCCATACAGTTGCTGCATCCTCCTCTGCATTACTCTGCATGTCCGCGTTGCAATAATAGAGCAGTGGCGAGCGCTTCGCGTCCTCAGTCATGGCAGTAAGTGCTTCGTATCCTTCCAGACGGACCCTCGCAGAAATTGCATTGAAACTGCACTCCCCAGCCCTGCGGACGAGCTGGCGGCCAATTGATGCCAGCCCGAGGATCGACAACATAAATGCCACTTGGCCAGCCGGTCCACGGAGTCCGAGACAGCCGCATCGCAAGCACAGCTGTGTGCCGGCTGCGGTTGTGACAGAGATACCTCTCACAGCATCGGTGCACAACATCAAAGCCGCGGCAACCAAACCCAATTGGACGCTGCCGTGGTTTCACAGACATTTTCCCCTCTCATTCACAGTTTCCTTTGATCGATGTCAGAAGCCTCTCAAACTACCGCCGCCAAAGATTACTCCACCACGCACTAGGGAAACCAGCTCTCATTTGAACAAGCCTTTGCAGACACGTTTGCGGAAATCACACGCCAACCCGTACGCTCCCTAGGTACGTCTCCTATTCCAGACGTGCCCTGTGTATATATCGACGGGGCCTGCCCGGACTAGTATAACATTCGCGTCGGCAACCCAGCCGGTTGGGGCTTTACGCTCCAACTGGGGCCCAGTGGGCCACAACTTGGATTTCCCCATCGTGGGATAACACGGCCGAGCTCCAAGCTCTTCTAGAAGCTCTTGATTATAGTATCTTCTTTCTCCACTATCGGTCGACACGCTAATCCCATCAGAGCGCCCCTGAGCGACACACTGCGCATTTCTACTCCCCCACTCTTCGAACAGCTTTCAGTAGAGGACCAAGCCCTTGCGCTACAAAAAGCGGCTCTGAAAGTTGCCCCACGCACCAAACAGGAGCAAACCTGTAAGAAAGAATACCTTTCTGAACCTACTAAACGACTCATCGTTCGTATCGCCTCGACTCCCCCAGAGGATCATGAATTGTTGCAGAAGCTCCGTAAAGCCGTCAAACGTCGTGCCCGACAAGATAAGAAGCAACATTTATGCGACAACCTTCTCCAAGACAGCAAAGGTCCCCCCTCCAAGCAATGGTCCACCCTCAAGTACATTCGCAAAGACTGACTATGCTGTTGGTACACAAGGTATCCGTAAGACCAATGGCCAAATGTCGACCAAAGCACTCAAACCTGAAGTAATGGCCAGCCACCTGGCCACCTAAAATCTGGAACTACCACGCATTACCTGCGCTACCCTTAGAACCTATTTTGCCCCCTGCGCCAGCAGACACCAGTCCTTTTGCGGAGTCCGAACCATTAAGCGCGCTTGCGCGCCTTAAAAACCGCAAGGCCCCTGGCGTTGACGAATTACCTGCGGAAATTTGGAAATTCGCGCCACGATCGGTTCATCTCGCCCTGCTCTCACATTTCATTTTAACGCTACGCCGCCCGCCTCGGCTGTGTAGCGGCAGGGCGAGGGGGCAGTCGATGTTTTTTTATGCTAGGGCGGCCTGTCAAACCCCAACCTTTACACGGTTGTTGATACGAAGTGCCAGGAAACGGGTACAAGGGAGGGGGGGGAGAGGGGGGGGGGGGGGGGGGGGGGGGGGGGGGGGGGGGGGGGGGGGGGGGGGGGGGGGGGGGGGGGGGGGGGGGGGGGGGGGGGGGGGGGGGGGGATGCCGACAAATCAGGTAAAATGAGGGGAAGCCGGGCAAGGGGGTGGCAAACGAACGCAAAACCTGAGGTAACCCCCAAGACGCCTGGGCCTCTGGCCTCGGCGGATTATAAGACCTTACGCAGGCTATATCGCCTAAATCCTGGCAAGTGGCGGATATAGTGATGATCTTTAAGGTAAAAAGAAGGACCCCACTTTAGCTACTAGCTATCGTGGCACCTCTCGTATAAATACAGTCTACGAGATATTGTCTGCTCCACGGCAGATTGAAATCGGCCATAGACGACCGCATAT